AAGAGCAAAGATGTCAGCTTGAGGACTAAGGTGCACCTGACCCAAGCCATGGTATTTTCAATAACCTCATATGCATGTGAAAGCTGGACAGTAAATAAGGAAGACCGTAGAAGAATTGATCCATTTGAGTTATGGTGTTGGAGGAGAATATTGAAAGTGCCATGGCTGCCAAAAGAACTAAAGGATAGTGTTGTAAGAAGTGCAGCTAGAGTCTGGCACCTTGGAGTCCAGGATGGCTAAACTTCGTCTCTCATACTTCGGACCATTCACTGGAGACAGATATCATGTTTGGTAGTGTGGAGGATCAGAGAAAAAGAGGAAGACCCCCAACGAGATGGATTGGCCAGGTGGCAGCATCGATGGACTTAAGCATGGCAACAATAGTGAAGTTGGCCCAGGATCGGGCAGTGTTTCATTCTGCTGTGCATAGGGTCGCTATGAGTTGGTACTGACTTGATGGCAACTAACAACAGCAACAACAAGGAACACCTGGTGTGGTGCTACGAGCTAACACACTAGACTGAAAAGCCAGTTTGAACCATAGGGTCAGTGGTTCAGGCTCACCAGCCATTCCTCTGAAACCCTATGCAGGGTTGCTATGGGTTGGAGCCAACTTGACAGCACTTGCCAGCAACAACGAGAAACACCAGTTAGTACAACTATTATTTAAATTTGTGCACCAACCACTAAAGCTAGTAATGGTGAAACTGAAGAATTCTACTAACCTCTTATGTCTGAAATTGATGAAACATGTAATCAATATGTATTGATAATCACTGGCAATTGGAATGTAAAGATTGGAAACAAAGTAGTTGGATCAGTAGTTGGAAAATATGGCCTTGGTGATGGAAATGATGCTAGAGCTCGCAAGTTAGAATTTTGCAAGACCAATGACTTTTTCATTGCAAATACCTTTTTTAAACAATGACTATACAAAATGAAGGAACTCTGGTAGCATAGTGGTCATGGGTTGGGCTGCTAATCTCATGGTCAGCAGAAAGATGAGGCTTTCTGCTCCTGTAACGATTTATAGCCTCAGAAATCCCATACAGGATTGCTATAAGTCGGAACCGACTCCACGGCACATAACCACCACCACAACCACCATATACATGGACTTCACCAAATGGAATACACAGAAATCAAATTGACTACATCTGTGCAAAGAGATGGTGGAAAAGCTCCATATCATCAATCAAAACAAGGCTAGGGGCAGACTGAGGAACAGACCCTCAATTGCTCATATTCAAGTGCAGACTGAAGCCAAAGAAAATTAAAAAGTCCATGAGAGCCAAAATATGACCTACAACACATCCCACCTGAATTTAGAGATCATCTCAAGAACAGATTTGGTGAGTTAGACACTAATGATTGAAGACCAGAAGAGTTGTGGGATGACATGAAGACCATAATACATGATAAAAGCAAAAGGTAATTAAGAAGGCAAGAAAGAAATAAAAGACCAAAACAGATGTCAGAAGAGACTCTGAAACTTGCTTTCCAGCATAGAGATGCTAAAGCAAATGGAAGAAATTTGAAGGTAAAAGAGCTGAACAGAAAATTTCAAAGGGCAGCTCAAGAAGACAAATATTATAATGAAATATCAAAAGACCTGCAGTTAGAAAACCCAAAGGGAAGAGCATGCTCTGCATTTCTCAAGCTAACAAATATTATAATGAAATGTTGAAAGACCTGCAGTTAGAAAACCAAAAGGAAAGAGCATGCTCAATATTTCTCAAGCTGAAAGAACTAAAGAAAAAAATTCAACCCTCGACTTGCAGTACTGAAGGATTCTATGGGCAAGATCCTTCCTTAGTATCCTTCAATACCACAGGATGAGGCTTGAATTTTTTTCTTCAGTTCTTTCAGCTTGAGAAATGCTGAGCTTGCTCTTCCCTTTTGGTTTTCTAACTCTAGGTCTTTTGACATTTCAAGGATTCTGTGAGCAAAATGGAGTCCTGGTGTGGCACTGTGAGTTAATGTGCTGGGCTGCAAAGTCAGTTTGATGTGCAAGGTTTGTGTTTCAAACTCACCAGCAGCTCCTTGGTACCCTATACAGGGGCACCACAGGTAGAAACTGACTCA